TTTTTAAAAACTATAAAAATCACTCTTTCCAAGACATAAATTTGGAAAACAAGCTGAACTTTTAAGCAGGTGACTGATGAGCAGGAGCCGACTGGTCCGATTCGCCGGCTGCCGCGGGTAAGGGACCGACGCTGCCGCCCGGGACCCGGGGGCGGCGGGGCCTGGACGCAGGCAGAGCGGCCGCAGGGACGACGCTGGGACCCTCTCCTCCCCATCCGTCCCGCCCTGGGTGCCGCACTTTCCGGAGGGGCCGGGGCTCCTGGGCGACCAGCTCAAGGACGTGGAGCCCATCCGGAGTCGAGCTCAGCTTGGACCAGAGCCGACTGCCGATGGGGAAGTCGGAGGCTGGGCGAGGGCAGTGGCCCCCGGCCTCCCCGTGCCCCGTGCCAGGGCGCCCCGTCATCCACCTGCGTCCTTTCTGGAACGTTTAGAACTTGCAGATCTGGTCGTCCTTTCTCAAAGGGCTGAAGGGCTGTCCACCATTCAAATTACATTCTGTCTCCTATTATTACCAATAAATTCCAAGTGATCTTTCTTCTCCTTATAGTTTTTAGGGTTACATACATTTCACCTACGCAGTTCTTTCATGCTTGACTATATTACGGAATGCCACTTCTGTTATAGGAGCTAATTGATACCGTGATTTGTTATGTTGCTGGGACATAATTCAGAAAGTTATTGCAGAGGTTTTGATACCCGGAGCGGCGCTCACTGTTGAACATTTCTCACAGGAGCAGATGCAGCATCAGGTGAAAAGTGTGACGCTGCACAGATGAAATATTTCCAGAAGCTTTTACTCTTGTTGTTTGGGTGGGTGCCAACATCTTTCTAGAAGAAAGCTCATTATTTCCAACGCTGCTTGATTTGAATTTATTCCCTGGTCATTAGTTAGTGCTTTTTAAAAAAAAAAAAAAAAAAAAAAAAGCTGGAACAAGTATGTGTATATATTTGAAAAAAGGAAAAAAATCAAGCACAAAAGAGGGGAATCACCACCTCTCAATCTAATCAAAGATGAGCTTTTAAAAAAATTTTTATGGTGAATTAATTGTAGATTCACAGGAAGTTGCAGAAATAGCAAAGGCAGTGCAGTGCGGCCTACACAGCACACACTCCCCCGAGGGGCTGCCCCAGGTGGCGGCAAACCAGGAGCCCAGGCTGGTGCTGCAAAATCCGGGCTGTGGACCTGGTTCTGTTCCCACCACTTCAACAGGCATTCGTGTGTGTGTGTGTGTGTGTGTGTGTGTGTGTCTGTCTCTGTGTGTCTGTGTGTGGGAGGGGCACTGTGAAATGCTATCCCGTGTATAGATTTGTGTCACTGTCACAACCAAGGTACAGAACCTGGCTTTGCCCCAAGGCTCCAGTGGGCCTGTTCTCCAGCTCGGCTGTTCCGTCCTTTGAGGATGTTGTATAAACGATACCACAGGGAGCGATCTCACTGGTGTTGGCTTCTCCACTCAGCACGACGCCCTTGAGGTCCATCCAGCCCCTGCTGGCTTCCTTTCCCTCATCGTGGGCGTTCCAGCAAGTAAATGTGCTGTTTGCGTAACTGTTCGAGGGGAAGGCATTTTCGTTGTCTCTAGTCTTTGCTCTAAGGGGATGGAGCTGCTACAAACATTCATGCACGTGTTTGTGTGAACCTAAGTTCCCATTTCTCTGGGATAAATGCAGAGGCTGGGCCGTATGCTAACTGCACACAGAGTTTATGAGAACCTGCCAAACTCTGCGCCAGAGGGTCTGCACCATTTTAGATTCCCAAGAGCAACGTATGGGAGACCCAGTAGCTTTGCATCTTCCCCAGCATTTGGTGTTTGTCACTATTTTTCATTTTAGCTGTTTTAGTAGATATGGTAGTGATATCTTATCTCGGTCTTAATTTGCGTTTTGTTTTTTTACTATCTGGGCTGTTGTGTGTCTCGGCCCAGGAATCTCAGCACTGCTCTCACTCTGCACCTAAGAGCAGGGAGGCCACGCCGCAGGGATGCAGTCTTGCCAGCTGGTGTCCAGGGCACGAGGTCAGGACGGGGCTCTGTGCCTGCTCACGTACCAGGGGAACCTTGCCCTGCTGTGCCACCTCCCACGTGCTCAGCTCCTGGGCCTCCCAGCCCGGACGGGACGGTGACCAGGGTCAGTCAGCCTGGGACTTGGCATCCTCTGGCCATTGGGTGGCTTCTTCCGTCTGCCACGTGGCCCCAGAGGTAGCCGAGGCAGGCAGGGGACTTGAGGCCTGCTTGGGGACATGACTTCTGCGCTGACACCACACCTGTGCTCGGAGCCTGGCAGGACGGGCCCGGGAGCCCCAGGGCCAGCAGCCCAGACCGTGCACTCTGCGGCCTGGCCTCAGCGGATCTGAGGGGCTGCCTGCCAGTACCCATGCCAGAAGGGGCTCTGACCCTCCCCGGCCCCAGCCTGTGCGCCCTCTAATGGGCTGGCTCCACCCCAGTGAGGCCAGGAGTGGGCTCACCCTCGACCCTCAGCCACAGACCTGGGGGGCTCTCGGGACGCAGGGTCCTGGCCAGTCTGCTGCCCACACGTGGGCCAGGCTGGCCTGGGCACGGTGTGAGGAGCTCTCCCGGTGACCGTGGCATCTGTCCTCCTATAGCCACCTTCAACTCCAGCTGAGTGTCCACCTCTGGGGACAGTGGCCTCTCCCAGGGCTCACTTTGCCCAGAGCGGTGACCACAGGTGCTGGCTGGACGTCCAGCTCTGGAGGAGGCTCTGCTGCATGTCCCATAGTAGTGGGAGCTCTGAGATCAGGGATGGGGCCCCTCCCCACTCCCGTCTCTGGAAGCTGCAGTCACCCTGCAGCCCCAGTGACGCCCTCAGCCTCCTGGGCTCAGCCTCCAAGGCACGCCCGTTCATCCCTTCGCTCGGCAAGCACCTGCTGGCCCCGCCACGGCCTGGCGCTGGACAGAGTGCCCCTCTCCAGGGATTCCCAGCCCGGTGGTTGGAGGTGACCACAGACTGTGACGCACCAGGAGTGGTCAGCGAGGAACAGGATAAACAGGGCGTCACAGGCCCGCCCCCGCCTCCCCGAGGATCCCTGGCGTGTTCACGCGGCCATTTCTGGTCCCTTGATTCAGGGGAAATGAGGTCCTGGACACAGTCTGCCCACTGGCTCTTCCCACCTGCCCCCTGCCCAGGACGCCAGGGCCGGCAAGTGTAGTGCCGACCACTCCACTGAGAGGCATTTGGAGCGGACATCCCACCCCCTCACATCTCCTTGGCAAAGCCCCGTGGAACTGAGTGGGCGAGGTCCCGGGCTGGGACCCTGGGAGCCCTGAGGATACGGTCGCCTCTGCCCGGGACGTGAGTCCCCACCCCGTGGAAAGCTCTGGGCAGGGAGGGGAGGCCTGGGGGCTCATTTCACACAGCCACGTCCTCTCTTTGAGTTTTGAGGTGCTGGGTGGTGCTGGCGTCTGCGTCGGCCGGGGGTGCAGAACCAGAGCTGGTCCCTGCGTCCAGGGGCACAGAAACACAGCTCGGAGGTGACGCAGCTGTTTACTAAAGCACTTCAACAGACGCTGTCCTCCCAGCGATTCTGGTCTAGCAGCCGGGGCGCGAGGGGCTGGGGGCCGGGCCCGCCAGCCACGGAAGCCGATGGGAGGCACACACTCCCTCTCCCAGTGCCCGACACGGGGACCCCAGGGAGAGCCTGGTGCCGCGAGGGGCCCAGGGGGCCCAGGCCGCTCTGGGGTGGGCCTGGAAGCGCTCCTCACCCCACCCGCGCTGCTGAGCCCCCCAAGATGCTCTCCACCCCCCGACGGGGCCCTGGCTTCATCGTGGAGGGAGAAGCAGGTTGCTGCCCTGTGCAGAACGGGGGCCGGGCA